CACACACAACCCCAATTCCCAAAAAGTTGGGACAGTGTGTAAAATGTCAATACAAACAGAAAGCAATTATTTGAAAGCATGAGGACAATTAGGTTTATAGCTAAACATCTTTACATTCATCAGGCACACACCTGAGAAGAGTGTATGGGTGGAATCTGTGGTGCAATCAGGATGAGATGCAGCAGGCTGTTCTGACGTTCCTTGCAGTGGTTCTGGGCCTATACATATATAGAGAACACACAAGAGCAAATATATTGGCTGGATTAGAAATGGCACGACAGTCATTTTTACATTCAATTATTTATCATCACATCAGGAACATCTATTGACATATTGTACTCACCAGAACAGGGTGGAATCAGTGGTCATCTCATCAGGATGAGCAGCTTGCTGTTCTGACGTTCCTTCATGTGGTTCTAGGTCTATAAATATAGAAAGAAGACACAAGAGCAAATATATTGACTGGATTTCACATTCAATTATTTATCATCAGGAACATCTATTGACACATTGCACTCACCTGAGGAAGCCGGCACAGCTGAGGTGCATGGCTGTTCCTTGTCAACTGATGCAGCAGGTGGTCCCAGATATTTTAAAAGTGAATCTAAAATGATATAACAAAATGTGTATTATCAACATTGAATAATTTCCATTTGTTAAATGTAGCTATTATTTAGTTAGTAAGCATTTGGACAGCCTGACAGGTCTGATTCAACTAATCAAGAGCTATGCCTATCTTATTAGAACAGTTGAATCAGGTGTGTTAGTTCTGGGTTGGAACGAAAACATTCAACAGGACTGGAGTTGAGACCACTGAGCTAGTTAGCTAACGTTAGCGCACATTATGACAGGGTTGAATTTGGCAAATGTTTGACTCAGATAGTCAATGTGCTTTCTGAGGTAAACTTAACGTTAGCTAACGTTACCAACTAACTAACATTCCACCACACTGGCTCGCTCGCTACACCAAAACTAACATTGTTATTATTACTAATATTTATATTTCATGACACAACGAAAATAGCCTTATGACAGTTTCGACTGAAGGGCAATAACAAACAATGGCTAGCTAACGTTGGCTTGGCTAACTAGCAAGATTCCATGATCCATCCGCTAATGTTGACAATACAATCAAAATTGCATACCTTTCACCTTGGCACGTTTCTCTTCTTCTTCTTTTCTTCTGTTTTTATACTGCGCCCCGGATGGCTTTTGTATCTTCATAGTTCTCTAACGTTAGTCTTTCTTTCCTCAACGTTCAATTTTATAAACACTTGACCGATATCCATCAATGCACAGCGCTCTAGCATGTTCTGACTGTGAACACCTAAAGCCGCGGCTCTTAGACCGACCGACCGTTTTAGATTTTTGGCTCATTTTCCCTTATGTTAGAATTTCTTTTTTTATGTAAGAATAATGGTTGCAGATATAGCAGATATATCTTTTTTTGGAGCCCCCCTCTGGGTGTCGCTCTAGGCAACCGCCTATATCGCCTGTAGGAAGCTCCGCCCCTAACCCCCATAAAATGTTGTTACATGAATAGTGTCGTAACCCCCTCAAAAACAGGTCGAAACTGCAGAGCATGGAGAATAAGAATAAGAATTCTACCAATTACTTCGTGCTCATATAAATATAAAAAGAGGAATCAGCTCTAAGCACCCACTGAAGAGTAAAAATAGAATAATTCAGCGAAACCCTTTGTTAAACATGTCACATATGACTTATATAGTTTATATTCCATGTCCTTTGTGTTGATTAATGTTTTATTAGTTGTTGATAATTGGAATGTCCTGTGTTTGATGGTTTCAGTTGGCTACACCATGAACGACCTGATCTTTGAGTGGCAGGAGAATGGACCTGTCCAAATTGCTGAAGGCCTTACACTGCCACAGTTCCTGCTCAAAGATGAATCAGACCTCAGATACTGCACCAAGCACTACAACACAGGTGACACACACCCACTCAAACACAATCTCACACTCACTCACTTACTCACACACACACTCACTCACACACACACTGCCATAAGCAGCATGACACAGTACTGTAACACACACACACAATATGAGCCGGTTGCCTCATTTCATTTCATATTTGTATGATCAAGTCAAGAAAAAAGATCTAATCCGAAAGGAAGAAACATCCATACTGATATTGCCTTTCCATTAAGTATGATCTGACCATATAGAAGACAAACAGAGATGTGGTGTTTTGGATGACTCAGGATTCAACCCTAATCCTGAAAGATTTTTGTAGCTATACAGCTGTTTAATCATTTTTAAGACTGAATGCCTGCAGACATCGTTTTAGCATGCAGATCCAGAATATCCAAGTGTAGGGGAAGCCTAGGTTGATGCACAGGTCATTCAGCCATTAATGGCTTGTAAGATCAGAATTGCGCCCTGTTTTTCTTCAGAGCTTCAGAAGTGTATCATGAAATGATATGATATAAATAAGCCAATATAATGCTTTGTTGCAGGTAAATTTACTTGTATTGAAGTGCGGTTCCACCTGGAGCGTCAGATGGGCTACTACCTGATCCAGATGTACATCCCCTCTCTGCTCATTGTCATACTGTCCTGGGTGTCCTTCTGGATCAACATGGATGCTGCCCCAGCCAGAGTGGCTCTGGGCATCACCACGGTGCTGACCATGACCACACAGAGCTCCGGCTCCAGGACCTCACTGCCTAAGGTCTGTGATTCTGGATTGTAGCACACTTCTGTTCATCTGTCTCTATTAGTCTGTCCTCCCTCTGCCCTCCCTCTGTCCCCACACATGCAGGCTAAGTGAGGTTGAGACTCTAAATTGCCTATAGGTTTAAATGTGAGTCGGAAGGGTTGTCTGTCTGTATTTGTCAGTGTCGTGGCTTCCTTCCTTGTATATCTATTAAGCCACTAGACGCCTAAAGGCCCCTACACCAAGCTGACAGCAAAGAACAAGACTGTTGTTGCCTCACGTCTCCTGCGTCTTGTTCAACAGTCGCACTGGAACACACCACAAAGACTTCAGCCGACGGCCAAGTAGCACGTACGAACTGCGCATGCTTGAGTGGCAATAACTCTCCTTACAAGCAGGCGGCGGTAGTGTGTATTTGTAATTCAAAAGACGCAACCCGGAAGACAGACTGCTTGATACAGATGTAGCGATTCATTTCAGACAGTTTGAAACGCGAGGGCCGTGATTGGTACGTGATCTGCCCTCGCTCAAGGGAAAACCTCCAGTTTGACTTGAGACCGCCCCCGTGATAGATAAATGTAATTATAATGAAGCCAGCTGCAATGGATCATTGATCCACCAGGGGGTGCAGTGGGGTTCCACACTGGAGCTCATGTGAAATAAAGTGAGATACAGTATGCTGGATGTACAGCGGAACTTTGTTAAGATCCATATGTCACGGATATCATACTCTGTGCTAAATAAGAGACATGTAATCGTTTACAAAACATCACCATGTTGTTATTTAACAAAATAATTTTGTTATTCGAAAAAAACGAACGGGAGGAAATGCAGCCCGGCTCTCGATTTTTAATCCTAATTTAATCATCATCTTCACCACGATCATTTATGTTTATGTTCGCCGAATTGACATGAAATCACTGACACATATGAATATACTGTATTCAACTTCATTAAAACGTTATTAACGTGCCTAAACTCAGTAATTCACCAAAAATATGTATATTTTAATGGAGCTTCGTCGGTCGATCAGGATCCCAAAGTGTAGCGGAGGGATCCTCATCTG